TGGGGGGGGGGGGGGGGGGCTCTGGGGGCTAAACAGACCTCTGACATTTCCCTTTTGAAATAGAAAAAGAGATTGAGGACACAGAGTGCGAGGAGAAGCTGTGGGGAATGCGAGGAGAAGCTGTGTTGGACGTCTGGCGCCCCTGTTTCCAATGGCGCCCTGTGCTCGCCATGGCAACAGGTGCCGCAGGGCGCAGCCAGGCTGGCCCTGGCTACGCCCCCTCTCAGCTGCGCCTGAGGCGAGTGCCTCACTCGCCCCATGGTAGCTACAGCCCTGTTTTGGGCTACATGTGAGAAGATCTTTAGCATGTGTCAGGGCTGCATGTTACATATGAAGGTCAGTAATGGCAGCTGACATAAGTGAACCTGTTGCCAAAGCATAGGTTGGCTTTAAAGAGACCCTGTCACCAGACCATTCATGTCCACTAATATCCTCCCATAAGACTATATGTGTAAGCTGTGAAAACCTCCCCTTGTGTGGACTTTCAAAAGCCCCGTGACTGCTGCTGGGCGCCACCATCTTGGATGTGATGTCACAGCCTCAGCAGACTCAAAACTGTCACTCAAGTGACCCGTCACTCCTCCCCCTGCAGCCACATTAAAGGTTATATAGGGAGGGGTGGAGGAGCTGTGCCAGTAATTAGGCATTCCCAGGAGGGGGCTATGACTTGGGAGGGGGCTGTGCTAGGGAATTGACTCTTCCCAGAGTAGTCAAATTTCTTTGCAACTTCAAAGGCACATTGTGAGTCAATTAACAAATGGAATGGAAAGACGTTGCTAGTACGCATTTATAATGCATGATTTTTTTAATGCTTTTACCTGGTGACAGGGTCTCTTTAAGATTCCTGGAAAGTCAACAAGAACCCTGTACGTTCCCAATTGTACGTACCAATATTTTTTTTTTTTGGTACTTGCTGATACGGAATACCGATACCGGAAGTCCCATTCGGGAAGCCAGGCGACGTGTAAAGACTCGCCACCCGACTTCTCAATTAGCACGGAAGCCGTCCCCATGCTTCTTGTCACTAGGTGACGCGAAAGCATTAGACTTGTGCGCCGTCAAAAAATTTGTTCTGTTTCTTTTCGTTTCGGAATATCCGTTATTTCGTATTTCGTAATTCGTAACTGAACTCAATTCGGACTCGGATTCGTACGAAATACGAATTTTCGTTAGTGGCGGTTATATTTTCGTAACTTTACGAACATTCGTTATGATGAAGTTAAAAAGCAAAATACCTTTGTTAATATTGGAGTGGTAGTTGTTTTTTTATCCGAAATACGAATTCCGTTAACGGATTCCGTATTCCGAATTCCGTAGTTCACCCAGGGAGGTCAAACCTGATAATGATGATGATCAGTCTTTGTGATTGAAAGAACTGAAATCCAATGAAGGAAAGGGGCGGGGCCAGGGACAGTCGGGTTGGGGAGGAAAGTGCTGGATGATGCTGGACGTCCTCCAGCCGGGAAATGAGGCGGAGCTCTCTCTGACTTGCTGCAGCTTCTGATGTACATTGTGAGGAGCTCCCAGTGTGCAGTGATATCAGAGGAAGAGGAGAGGATCCGGTACAACTGTGCAAGACTGAAGGGGAGGACGGAGGTCAGATAGAAGACTGAAGGGGAGGACGGAGGTCAGATAGAAGACTGAAGGGAATGACGGAGGTCAGATAGAAGACTGAAGGGAAGGACGGAGGTCAGATAGAAGACTGAAGGGAAGGCCGGAGGTCAGATAGAAGACTGAAGGGAAGGCCGGAGGTCAGATAGAAGGCAGAATGTGGGCAGGGTCATGGCGGAGGTACTTGGGCCCTTTGGATATGCACCGGGCCCCGGGCCCCTTGCCTTGTAGATGCTCCGGGTCCTCCAGCACACGGTCTGAGCGCGGTTACCTGTGTCTGGCGTCATCTGTCAGGCCGTCATTAGCCGGCACAGCTGGGGCGGCTGCACTCAGGATCGCTCTTCATGCCGGATTGGAGAGAAGGACAGATGTGACCGGGCGACCTTCTCCGGCTTTATAGATTGCACTGTACATGCCGCGTAATGTCCGGAGTGCTCAGCCACCTTCCCAACACAACATTCACACAGCAGCCCGAGCAATCCGAGGACGGTGAACGTTCTCCGGGCTCCGCCAGCACCAGGCACTTCACTCAGTTCTATATAGTTAATTGCAGCTGAATTCAGCAGGACATTCTCAGTGCTTCTGGGATGGCACTGCAGCCTCTTGTGATATGATACCGTGCAATTTGTGGGCATCAGGAGGGGAAATAAAAGCCAGTCAGAAAATTGTTTTTAGGCTGTGTACACCCGTCCAGAGAACGTCGCCAGTCAGCCCCCGGCCTCCGGGCCAATGGACAGTGCATAGAAGTCCCGGCGAGGACTTAGGGAACGCGTCGTAACTTAAAGTGATCGGTTATAAATCAGGTTTAGGGGGTTTTTTATGCTTTATTGGAATTCTGTTCGGAGCAATCAATAAGAAATGTAGAATCCAAATAACCAAGATCGTAAAACCCTCCAGACAAACAAAGCCGTCATAAAGAACACAAACACCTCCCCATAAATAATGTGCAGACTCATTATATTCCCTGCATAGCTCTGACATATACCGCAGTGCTGTACAATGTGCCAGTCACATCAGTCTCTGTACAGAGGAGCTTACACTCTAATGTCCCCTCCCCCACAGTCACATCAGTCTCTGTACAGAGGAGCTTACACTCTAATGTCCCCTCCCCCACAGTCACACACCTATTATAATACATTTATATAGCTCTGACATATACCGCAGTACTGTACAAAGAACACTGAGCCAGCCAGAGGAGCTTACACTCTAATGTTACCCACAGTCCCACACTATTAACATCATACCAGCCCCTCCTTTTTAGTCTCCATGTTATGAAGATGGGGGAATACTGTAATTCTGTTTTGGGGTGACAACGATGCACCTTCATACAGATACAGTACACTGAGTGTTGTCACCCTAGGACAGGAAGTGTGTTAGTGGCAGGATCACTGGGTGAAAATAAAGGAAAACACTAATGCAGCCGCCACATCTGAGGACTGGAAAACCACAACATGTTAGTCACCTCTCCAAGCTCGCTCCCGGGATGAACTACAATCTCAGGTTTAGTTTATTCATTTGTATTGAGATTGTAGTCCATCCCGGGAGCGAGCTTGGAGCGGTGACTACTTTACAACACACACAGGGATCATGGGGAACAGACGTAGCCCCCCTCCAGAAGGAAGGACAGTGTCGGCACCAATTCAGAGACGATTGGAGGATCTACAGCCGAGTGATACACAAATAACATACATTGTTGTTCAGAGTTCAGCGACTTGAATGTATTTTTAGGATGTAACTCCGGAGTGTACTGTCCCTTTAACAAACCCAAACCTAGTTTATAAGAAAACAGACTTTCAGGTGAATGTTTCCTCTTTCCAGCCTACAATATACTTTGTCACTTCCCCATATTAAATGTATCCAGTTCAATGTAGAGAGGAGACAGTGACAAGTTAAAGGAGAACTATGGGGGGGGGGCGGGTGCTTTTCACTCACCTCATAGTTCTAGCCGACCTGTGACAATAAGACTCTCACAGGTCGGCTCAGTAGATCGGGAGGTGAGCGAACACATACCGGCGTTCGCTCACTTCTCGATCCTGTGCCAGCAGAGAGCCGTGACAGGGGCTGGATTCCCCTCTCACCTGCCGGATCTGCCAGCGCTGACTGGCGGAACGGACGGGGTAGGGGGCGGGTACAGCTGGCTCTGCCTCTAGATAGGCAGAGCCAGCTGTCAGTCACGCAGCTGGGCGGATCTCCACAGTAGTATCGAGATCCGCTCCGGCTGCGGCGTCTCAGTATATAATGAGCTACAGCTCGCAGTATACTGAGCCAAGGGTGACGGGAGGACGCTAGTTTGTGTCCCCCCGTTACCCTAAGGAGAACTATGAGGAAAAGCCCTGACCCCGTAGTTCTCCTTTAATATCTGTGTGCCCTGGTATGTTCTGTCGCTCTGTGTTACAGCTTGTTGTGTAATGTTGTGATATGTTACATTATTCATGTTGTTGTGTTGATGTGATACATAATGTCATGCTGTGTTTGTTGGAATGTGTTATATTTTGTTGTTGTTTTGGCCGTTATTATGCAAGATGGCCGAATGCAACTGAACCTCCGACAACGATAGATTCCGCCACGAACTTGTGATCGGGCTTTGGAACAATTGTATCAGAATTTGAATATTTCATAGTAGGAATTCTGTGAGAACTTTAATCAAAATAAAAATAAGAATGGCAAGACCTGCAGAGTGTTCACTGAGAGAGTTATTCACTGAAGAGCCGAAGGATCCAGACGTAGATTCGGCTGATCCTTCGGCTCTCTTAGGCCGCTGGAGCCCTGCGGTTCAGTCGAACCGAAGGGCTGCCGTACGGGCTATTCACTATATTCACTACAGCCCGTACAGCAGCCGAAGGCCGGCAGTAAGCCCCGCAAATGACAGGTGGGCGGACCAATCCGTGATCTCATAGTTGGCTCCACCCAGTTGTAATGATAGATCAGCGCATATTTATTATTATTATTTTTTTTTTTTATCTTCCTATTTATTTAACATTTTTATCATCATTTAGCAATTTTTTTTGTTTGTTTATTTTTTGTTAACATTCTTTCCACTTTTTTGCTCTTCTGCTCGGTACCACGGAGGTAGTGGGCAGAACAGCCGAGCCGAATGCCCAGATGTTGGGTCGCCTTCTGCACCGATGTATGGCTGAAATCGGCCGTACTGAGCCGGAAAGGAATGGCTATACATTGTAGCAAGTGAGGGGTTTCATGTAAATCAGTAGAGTGGCCGAACGAAACGGGCAATCTTTGAGCCGATTGGCCCATGTGTGTCTCAGCTGTGCGGCCGGCTTCTCCTGGGTGTGATTATTCCATCAGTCACGTCTCCGGTCTCTCAGTCAGCTCCTGGAAGGGGAGAGAGACAGAGAGAGAGAGAGAGAGAGAGGGAGACGTCACTGTCCAGCCCAGATCATTAATTCTCCGGCTCGGCTCTGGGTCTCAGCTCCCTCTGCCCGTCGGTCGTCCAGCGGCGAAGTGCACGATGAGTCACAAGTAAACGCACTCGGGTTCCTCATGACTAGGTGACAGACTAACGCCACCGACTCCAGCTGCTCCCTCCGCTGCTCCCCCGGCTAACCGTTGCCATTTTTTTTTCTTCCTTTCAACAGATGGCAAACCCGGTGACATCAGCCTGCTGTATGGTGCTAGCGGCGGCCGTCATGGTGTACGCGCAACGACACAACGAGGGTAAGTCGTACTTTTGCATGGAGGTGGCATGTGTGTGTGCGGGGACACCGGCGGGACACAGACGGGACACAGACGGCCTGCCAAAGGAAGGCGAGGTCACTGGGTGTCCGGGGGATGATTGATGGGGGATTGTTAACCCTCTGCACCAGTATTATCCTATATACAGTATACGGTGTATATATATATATATATACACGTACGGACCTTCGCGCGCCACGGCCCGCTGCGGCATCAATCATTTACTTCCATATAAACATCTCCAGCGTCAGACATAAATAAGTGTAATGGAAGTGCTGGCAGAGAACAGAGACTTTGTCATCGCAGCAGACGGGACGCCGAGCCAATGAGCAGAAACGGCCGAAAAACAAAAGTCGCCGAACCGAGAACGCGCGGCGGGTGATGTCACCCGTTTACTGACCGGCGGGTAGACACAGCGCACTTCTTATATCGTATTTGGGATGATGTGAAAATTATTTGGTTTTGATACATTTATAGCAGGACGGTGATAAAGATACAAATGAGTGAAATCTGTATTGATTGATAATCGATACAATGATATATTGATGAATTGATAATATTGATACGTCATTAACTGTGGGGTTGTAATTAATTGCAAGCAGTACAAGTATCTGCTCTTGATTTGGTATCGGCCTATAACGCAGAGCTCAAACCAGGAGAGGTGGAAGCAGCACCGGGAGCTGTTACTGTGGAAACAGCATGCTGATAGTTGGAGAGAGCAATGTGATAGAGAGATGAGGTCATCAGTCTGCCAGTCACAGGCCAGGGGGGGGA